GGCTCTCTTTTTACTCTCACCTATTTCTTTCTTCAACTGTCTTCTTAGCCCCTTATAGTTACTAATAAGGGCTTCGATCCCACTGTCCTCCTTCCTCCTTGCTCTAGTTATTTTCCTCAATGCTTTGTGAGCCTGAGTTCTCAATTCTACCATCGTCTCATTCCACCAGTGGTTGCTGTACTTCTTGTTTGTCGTACAGCTCACCTTCTTCAGCATCTTGTCACAAGTTTCCACCATACATTTCTGCAGCAGTTCCGCCTTGTCCGCGTCATCCGTCATATTAAAATTCTGTACGTTAGTGATCTCGTCAAATTTAGTCAAAAATATGTCGGGTGCAAGACCCTTCGTCATATATTTAAAAAATTTAGTTCGATCACTTACGGTCCTCGTTTTAAACGTATGAGATATGTATAGGTGGTCCGATGCTGTGAAAGCATTTAACACCTTGCTCCTTACGTGGAGATCGTTAACCATGTTTGTTGCACTGATTATGTCAGGGCAACTTGTCCCCGGGTTCATCAATGTGTCATCGGTCTTTTCAAGTGCATAGTTTCGTAGAAAAGACCTACGTGACCCTGGCTACGAGTGTCTGCAGAACACGTGTGCGGTGGGCCTAGCAAAAGACAAGAGAATGCTACAACGGCCAGAGAGGAGCAGTCGAGAAGCAGCGTGCGAGTCGAGAAGGAGAGTTTGCGAGTGGCGTTGCCGAGATAGTGTTAATTGCATTATTGTGAAAGTCAAGTCGTTATCTAATCATTTAGTTGTGCTGTTTTCTGTACGTTTGGCGTGAATAGTTCAGGTTGAACAACAATCGTCTTTTTCTGTCCAATTAACATCTGTATCATCCATTCCTTTGTAAACATATTATATCACGATATTACATGTATAGGTGGTCCGATGCTGTGAAAGCATTTAAAACCTTGCTCCTTACGTGGAGGTCGTTAACCATGTTTGTTGCACTGATTATGTCAGGACAATTCATCCTTCCGTTCCTATAAAACGGGTATTTATCGTCCAGCCTTATAGGGAACACGCCGTAACCGCACAGGGTTTCCATTAAAATTCTTCCTCGCTTGTCTGTGGTTTGTCCTCCCCAGCAAGTGGACTTAGCGTTGAAGTCGCCAGCCACAATCACTTTCTTGTTTCTGCTTACACCTTTCTTTATCTCTGATGCAAGCTTACTTATGTATATCATGATTCCTCAATCTTGATATTGGGGAAACAATAACCACTGAAACAGAGGATATCACCTACACCAATACCCACTAGTCCGTCCTTCCTGTAGAGAAGCGTTTCATTCGGTGTTCGACCATTGAATTGCGTCACCCAAATCGACGCATCACCCTTAGTATCGTTATCCCGTTTGAGAGATCCTGGCGAAGACTCGTTGGTTCCACTCCATTTTTGGAGCCGAATGTGGCGCATGTCACTGCTTTCCCATCGGTCTATTCGGAAATCCGTAAAATTGAATCTTTCTGAAAAATATTCAATTTTATTTATTTTCGTTACTTTTAGAATTATTTTGACCGATAAACGCTCATGTTCTGTCTCCGCATCTACGCATATGGAGAACTTGAATTAATGATGTTGCCAGCAGGTATTCAACTTAATATGGAGTTGCAAGTGTCTTCTAGGTTTTATAACAGCCTCTAACAAATAAACATACGTTTCACTCTTATTTGGATGCCGAATGCATCACGCGTAGGACGCGTTCACTCAGGTATCCGTAAAAGGCAATTTTTGGAAATATTTTATTGCAATATACGATTTTGCATTTCAACCTGTTTGAAATTACTCGACGAATAAACACTTGCTATGCTTTATTTTAGATGCCAAATGCGGGGTACGACTTTACTTTTACATAGTGTACATAGTACTTCACAAAATGCAATCTTCCGGAGTAATTTATTAACATATGCGATTTATATCTTCGCTCCTGTTGAAGTCATGCTGACAAATAAGCGATAGTTTTACGCTATTTGCAATGTCGAAAGCAGGGCACGTCCGTTCTCCCCATAAGTATACTCGGAACTCTGTGAAATTGAATCCTTCTGAATAATTGAATGACATATGCGACTTCACGTATTTTCGCTTCTGTTTGATATTTTTTGACGGATAGACGGAGGGAGTAGAAAAGAAAATGTGATGAATGTGTGTACATAGACTGTGTGAATAACATGCAACTAAGGGCGTGCAGGTAGCTTGGCTCATGTGAATTTACTAAATACTGTTTATTTTACACCTTTATGTTTGATTAATTAATCTTATCAGAATACATCGACTGTAAAAACAAGGGACAAGGAAAGCAATTGAAGTACAATAAGACACTTTATAGGATTTATATTTAACAGATCAAATTAAAAAAAAAGAAATTAATTTAACCCTCGTGCTACGATGCTTGAGTCTCTTCGGACTAGTCGGTAATAATGTTCACAACATTATTATTGAACAAAATTAAAATCTAACTAAGAATATCGAAATCATTACAAGAAACATCGGAGGAATTCTCACTGGGACACATTTATCGGAATACATTCATATACCAAAACCGTACGATGGATGAAACCCCTTCCTGTCCGGTGAGGTGATGATGCACATGGGCACTCAAAATCTCCTCAGGAACTACCGCAGGTAAACGAACCTTCGCGCAATTATCAGTGATTCATAGCGGCACTTGACAACAAAACATCCAGCGGTTTCTGTTCCGTAGCTCGCTACGCAAAGATTCTATCCCTCAGACAAGATGATTGCCAGATGTCCAAACATCTTCATGGCGTACTTTCAACTAGCTTAAGGACCCGCCATAAATCTTAGGATTTCTCTAGCTAAGGTCCTTCAAACTGAACAAATATTTTTTAGTCTTTGCATTTTCCTTAATTTATTACCTACAATGGAAAGATACGGGAAATCTGGTTTGTCTCGCGTACGATGCTTCCTGCTAGAAACTTTCTCTCGAGGGCGGTTAGAATTCTTCCACCAACCTAGTATTAGGTTGCCCGAAAAGTTTCTTCCGTTATATGAGGAAATAATAGACGCACAACGTTTTTTGTTTTATATTATTTTGCAGAATTACGTACGATCCATTTTGTTCTGTTGAGATAAACGTCGCGACATTTCACAGACTTGGTTTCACGTTTGTATGAAGGTGCATTGTTGTAAAAAACACGTTTGCACAGCTCACTTTCCTAACGAAAACTTTCCTTAACGAACCCGATTATCTCATATCCTTAGACACATCCATCATAGTTTTCCTCCGCAGCATCATCGTCACTAAATTTCACTTATTCTGTATCCTTAGAATAGTCAACATATCTTTACCGGTCTCTACCCTTATAACAATCGCGTACTTAACGTATCAGTGTAACTAAGTTTTACATAACCTGGTTGCAGTGAATTGTGATTTATGTTAATTCAGTGTGTATTCCATTGTGATCGCTGAATTCATAATAAAGTTTAATTAAAACAAAATTAATAGTTTTTGTTACGACTCAGCTTTTTTCTTTTCTTTTTTTTATTTTTTTCTTATATTCTTTATAACTCAGTAAAAAAACAGAGAACGAACGAAGTATGTAAAAACTTTAGTTGAACAATTGCGAAGAGATTTTCGTCAGACTAGTGATCAAGCTTCTACTTCTATCTCTAGTTTCGATGAAATTCGATTGTGAATGGAAAGCTACATGTTATTCTAACAGGAGTTGAAAAGGATTGTAAAGTTTACCCTCAACGAAATAATCCTGGCGAAAGACATCAAACAATAAATTATTGATACTTGCACCAACAAGCCGAGGATTTTGGCGATTGTTTTATAAAATACTTCTTTCAGATGTAAGGGTACATAAAATATTAAAATATAATAGTGTTATACGTTAATTTATATATGAAATCATTTCAAGTTAGCTGTAAGAAATTCACCAAGTATACGAAAAATAGTCTCAAGTTGCCGAAACGAAAAAGTCCTAAACTGCAAAGGATTATTACAGTCCTCGTGAAATTTCAAAATGTTTCGTGTAACACACGTAATATATTTATTTACGGTTTCTATAAGTGCTTGAATACTGTTGTGAGTATAGTAATAACTATATAGGTATACTATATTTTGCATAAAAAACAAACATCCAAAGTATTATGACGATAACAAACGTTAAGTACATAATTGTTGTTCATATATTTCATCTAAAATTCAATAAGAATAAGCGATTCTTCTCAGCAGTATATATAATCTCATACGAGAAACTCATGCAATAGAACTTGTTCACTCACATTGATTTTAATATTACTTTCCAAAGTTCAATATATAGTCATAGATTACAAAAATGTATTACAAATAAAATTTATGTAATTGATATATATTGAAACGTCGGGGAAAAACATCTGTCATATAAATAAAATTCCTTTTCCTTCTTTTAATATCGATTGTACAAGCTAAACATAAGTCTAGAAAGTCAATATCGCTCAAACATGTAATCTTTATAACGAAACATTATTATTACAGTCTTTTAACGGAACCTAGCAAACTGAACACTTGACCTTACATAGAGTATTAGATCTTGTATTAAGTTATTAAATTTGTTATGGATTTAAAAATGTTAGAGTTATAAATATGTTTCATAATAAAAAAATTCATGCATACTGATTCAAAAATTATTATAAATGCGAGTCGATAATTATTACATCAATAAGTAATTATAACGTCACGACGTACACAGTATGTATTTTATATGTATTTCAGGAAGTAAGTATTTATTTAGAATTACTACATGAGTTTAATTAAGTTATTTTTAAATCGTATTTATAATAACCACAAAAATTATTCGTTTATTAGAAGTTTGAAAATCAGTACTTACAAAGGATCTATTTACTATATAATATATATTTATAATTTTAACATATTAAAGCTCTGGCAAACTTAATATCTTAATCAATGATGCAGTAATTCGAATATGTTTCTTAAAATATAAACATTAATGTAAATTATTGTAAATTATGTAAACATTAATGTAAATTATTACCAACTCGCATTTATGATAATCATAAATGAATAATATGCTAATATTAAAACTAATCATTCCGATTCCTTAGTGGCGTCAATGGTTTATGTGGGGAAGGAATAGGTGTCGCAAATGTGTTCTGTGAAATTCCTAACATGTTCTCTTTTCCTTTACTATGCGCACGTTTTTCTTCTGCTCTCAATTTTTCTATCATCTTGTGCTGCTGTTCTATTGTCCTCGTCTTCGCATATAAATCCTAAAAACAATTTAAATTTTATCACATTTATTTTACAATCAATCAATATATACTACATAAGTATTTAGGTACTTATGTATATAAGTTAATACTTGCAACTAAGAGAAGCAAGAAAAAATAATTAGACCAATGCAAATGAAATTGAATAATACCATTTACGCAATAGAAATAATTTATTTATATACATTTAATATTCTCAGTCAATATATACATATTCTCTCCTATTGTTTAAACAAATAAGTTGGGCACACTACTGAGTGAATACCTAAACAACAAAGTAGTGCTAGCCTAAATTCACACAAAATTATGGTATATCATTAAAAGTAAAATAAAAGAAACCAAATAGTTTGTCAAATTCAGTACATTATAACAATGAATCAACATTCATTAATAATAATGCACACAAAAATAAACAGTGAGACGAATTAACATACTATAAATATAAACAGAAAATTTAATATTTTCATTCAATAATTTAACAATCAATATATGTTTCAATGTTAAATGTTTGTAATATTAAAAGATATTACTACTATTATGATAAGGATATCAATTCAACATGCAATATAAAATGATCACGATGCCAAGACAGATAGTTAAACGCACCTGTTCGAGTTGATTGATTTTATCTTTCAGTTGAGATACATGTTTAATTCTTTGCCTGTGATTATGATGACCAACAACTTCAGCGTATTTTTCATGAATTTCTTGATAATCTTTTAGAAGTTGCTCGTTATATTTAGAAAGCTTTTTCACTTCACTAAATAGACAAAAATAAATTTATTATTTTATAACTTTCTTAAATTATTCTTGTTTTTAGAGGAGAAAACAACGTACTCTTCAGCTGCTTCTCGGCGAGATTTTTCTTCTTCAAGCTTTTCTATAATCGTTTTTTCTAAACTTCTCCATTTGTTCTGTTCTTCTTCGAGTAATTCATTATGTTTCTACACAGATACAATATTTTTTAATAAATTACATATATGTTACAAAATACAACAATTACTGTATTCTTTTAAATTCTTTTCTTTATCTTTTCAGATATAAAACATAAAAAAAATGATCAATTACCGATATCTGGCTATCCTTTTCTTCAAGACATTTAATTTTATCAGAAAGTTCTCCTATTTTCAGACTTGCCTGTAAAAATAGTAAAAATAATTAAATTCATATATTTTATTACGTAAAAAGGAAGCATTAATATAACAATTTCGAGAGCATACTTCATTTAAGGTAACTTTTTGAATTTCTGATTGATGCTCTAACAATTTATTTAAGTCTTCTATTGCTGTTTCACGTTCTTTCAACTGTTCGTTAAATTTGTTGTTTAGCATATCCGCTCGAGAAATTTCGAGTTCTTGAGCATCGTTTCTTTCTTCCAATTTAAGCAGCATATTTTGTGCTTCAGCAAGATGGTTAGCCATTTCTTGAAGCTGATTTTTCATCTAAAATTCGAAATGAGATGATAAAGTGATTTACTTTCCTCTTTAAGCAATTAATCACATTACATCAAAATAATTATTATAATTCTCAAATTTTTCACTTATTAAAATTTTTAATACTTTTAAAACAAAAATAGGAAATAAAGAGCACCTCAATATTTTGTGCGGTCTTCACATCATTCTCAGCTTGTAATTTCGCAACTTGTCTGGTTGCTATTTTCTTTAAGTCATCGATTTTAGCTTCAAATACAGATTTTAATGATTCCAATTCGCTTAAACTTTCAGCTTCGAGTTGATCGACCAATCCCTTTTTGGCGTCTAATTGATCCATCAAAACATGCACCTGTTCATGTACTATTTGAGAGTTGTTGCGCATAATACTCAGTAAATCACGATGTTCGTTTATGCAATCTTCACCACGTTTTAATTCATGCTGTAATCTTTCCACTTCAGCATTACTTTGAGCCAAACGTTTAGTTAAAGCAGCAACTGATGCTTGATTTTCAGCCATTATAACTTCGAATCTAAATAAAATTTCGTACATGTATACATGTATACATATGTGTATATATATATATATATAAGTACCTATTTATAAAAATACATATAGTTCTTTCTGTGAAAAATAATATACCTCTTTCGTCTAGCTACCATTTCCGCTGCCTCTGCTCGGATTTGATCTTTTAGAGCTCTTAATTCATCTTTCTTTTCTGCTAGTTCAGTTTCTGCTCGATCTAATTCTATTTGTAAGCTTTGGCCAAAACTTTCCTAAATTCGTTTAATCAATTATTACAAACTGGTACTTTGAAATATTATCTTTATTTTTGATTACGTTTTACAACCCACCTGAGTTTCTGCAGAGTTCTTTAATTCTTCCAGAGTCGCGGAAAGTCTATTAATTTCAGCATCTTTAATCGCCAGTTTTTCGTCTAATGCCGTTCGTTCCATTTCTACTCGCGCTAAACACGCTTTATACCTTTCCGCGGTAAGTCGCATTTCTTCCTCTACAGTAATCTTTGCCTCTCTGATCATAGCATTTATCTAGATTAATAAATTCATTTTAAAAACTATATGCATACGTTCTTACAAAAGAGCATAAAATATAAGCAAACATCACAAAAACTGGAAGAGAAAATATTAAAAGAGGTTTCGAAAAAGAAATAGTGTCCACAATAAAAATTCTTTCAGTATAACTCTTTTTCTTCTCGGTATAGTAAAAGAGAATTTTTATTGAACGATTTTTTATTGGGTGTTAGAAGAAAGAATTCAGTCAGTGATGTTTTTTATTTTACGCACGTGTGACCCGCTTACTTTCGCGTCACTATCAGCAATCACTCTTTTTACTCTTTCCTCACATTCGGTACGGCAAGCTGCCAATGTTTCTCTCGTAACAGCTTCTGCATTTGTTACTAATTTATCGGCATGTTGTTTAATTCGTTTCGTTTCTTCTTCGATCATTTTGCCCGCAGCTTCTTTTACTTCTGATACTTCTTTGTCTCTTGCTACCGTTAGCTACGGAAAAAATTAGTATATGTTATTTCACAAAAAGATTATTATATAACAAACAATGTATGTAAATCTTGTCTATGTTTCGAATTAAAATATACAAAAAAAAAAGATAAAACAACATATGAATATACATTTTCTATTTCTTTTATATAATTCAATCTTGCATCCTCCAATTGCTTTTTCAGTTTATATTTTTCTTCATCATGAAGTTTTATTATATCACCTAATTCTTCCTGATGTTTTTTCAAAATAAGAGTGTGTTTTCTATGTGAATCTTCTAATTCTTGATGCGCCTCGCGTAAACGATTATTAACCTGAATTAAAATAAAAAGTAGGAAGTTAAGAAAATGTTTTTATTATTATTCAAACAGGTAAAAATTTTAATATTTACATCTTTGGAAAGATTTTGAACGTTTTCCAGTTCTTTTCTCAAAAAATTATTTTCTTCGTCAATATCTTTTACTTTAGCTTCAATTTCTATCCTACGCGACATTTCAAATTCGTTTTCATTGATAAGGATCATTTTTTCTTTTCCAAAATCGAGTTTCAATTTATTAGTTTCTTCTTCATATTTATATCTAAGATCACCCACTTTTTTCGAAAAATTTTCAACAACTTTTTCATATTCACCCTTTAGTTCGTCTAATTCACATTGAAGGGCAGATAGTTGTCCTTGTAGTTCAAGAACTACATTTTGTCGCTTTTGCAACTTTAGCTCCAACTTATCACGTTCCTCCATTAAATTAATAACACATGAATTAAGTTTGGCCTTTTCTTGTTCCAGCAAGCCAACTTCATATTTGTGACTTACTGTTATCTCTTCTAATTTTATTGTTAGTTCTTCAATTTGTATTTCAAGAGATTGAACCTATGAAGAACAAATTTTAAAAATTGTCATAGAGTTACAATGTTTTCAAATCATTTTAATTCTTCAAAATAAACAAGTATTTACCCTTTTCACGTTTGTATGTTTTTTATCTGCCAATTCATATTCTAACGCTGCTATTCTTTTCGAGAAATCCGCGATACGATTTCTAAGATCACCTTCCATAGCTTTTCTTGCTTCAATTTCGCGTTCTTTCTCCTCTGAAACTTCCAAAAGCTGAGAACGAAGGCGCTTCACTTCGGTTTGATGCTTTTCATCGTAACCATTTAAAATTTCTTGTTGCAATTTAGCCTGGATGCAGGAGTCGTTAATAAAATATTTGTTAGAAATAAAATTACACTTTTTGGTAAAAAGTATTTTACAACCATTATTTCTATGTCCTTTCGGTGTTGCTCCTCTACTTCTGTTTGTTTTTTATGTAACTCGTCGAGTTGCAATTCTAATTTCTGTACTTCCTCCTTCATGTCCTCGATGTGCTTCTCAAGCTCTTGTATCGTCCTGTCTTTGTTGGAACATTCTACTTGAAGATCAGCAAGTTGATGCTCGGAATCGTACTTCAATTTTTGGTCGTTAGCAGTAATAAGCCCACGTGACTTCACTTTTGAACTTGATCTTGTTTGGTCTCGATTGTGTTTTCGTGGTGGTTGTGGCTAAAAATACATATTGTTACTGATATTAAAATATTTTCTAAAAAAAAACATATATATTTTTTCATAACTCATTAACTCTCTGTAAGTTGCGGTATATCCAAGAGATACCCAGTAATCTGAGCCATAGTGCCAAGTTTTACATAAAAAGTATATGAATATATGAAAAACATATAAATTTCTTAAAACATACATTCCAACTACATATGCATTTGTTGTAAAAAAAATATAAAATATGAACAATTAAATAATACTTCTGTACATATCTCTCAGATCAACTGCATCCCTTGCAAGATCAATAAGAAAATTTTTTACATCCAATTAATTTCTATTTCGCACCGTTCTAAAAGTAATTGCCACATTGCTTGCATTTTTAGTGCACACTGATACATTGCACTCTGCACTGGCAACGCTTTTGTTATCATGAAATCTCTCTGACTTTTCAATAACAAAACCTTTTACTTTACTATCTAATTTTGGATCATACGCCCCTGGTGGAGGTACATCATCTGTAACAATTATTTCTTTTAAAATATAAATTAAGAAAAGAAGATAAAGATATATATATATATATATATATATATATATATATATATAGTGACTGCAATAAGTATTTGTACATCATTATATTTATTATAGCATATATATACTAATAATATATACTAATATAATAATTATTACACACTAATTAATTACATTCGAGTATATTAAATATTTCATTTACTAATACTTACATATGATTACAAAAAATTGATACTGTGGAAATGAAATAGAGAACTTACAAAAAAAACGTTTCATTGGAAAATAAGTACATGTACAAATACTAATTGTAGTCACTGTATAAAATATATTTTTTGAAAGCTTTGTATTAAATAATTCCATAAAAAAACATTTAATGAAATGGGATTCTATAGGTATATTCTTGTTTGTGCTTTCCTGTTATTGTTCATGTATTCATAATGTATCGTAACTGTATCTGTAACTAATGTATCGTAATGAATCGTAAGTAGTCATAAAAAATCAACATGGAAGACAAGAAGATTTTCGTTCTGAGCATGCATGACACTCATCTCTGTCTCGTAAGAACGTGTACTACTTTGTTATTGACCTTCCATGTTAATTTTTCATGACTAGACACGACTCAATTTTCGAACAGTTTTCTCTAGCAAGTGTCGAGACCTTTTTATATGATTGTGGTCATGACAAAAAATTTGTTTACATCCTATATGGGCATAAAGATTATGAGAGTATTTGAATATTTACCATGGAAAACTTTCATGTATGTACATATATGTATTATATGCATTATATAAAACATTTTAAAATTTCACTAATCCTATAATGGAACACAATTGTCATGATTACACTGATAAAATTTTAAACTTATCTAAAAATGTACAGTAATATGCTATTTATATGAATCTGTTGGAGAATACACAAGTTTATATGGGCAAGTTATTCATATAATAGAAATCTACTTAATTCTCTCCACTTTATATAATTTATCACTCAGTTAATCAGAATTCACACTTGTATAAATGGATCCAAATATTTGCTTATAAATACATGATAAGTTTTAAAACTTATGATTTTAGAAATTAATTTTTATGGTCAGTAATTGTATAATTTGACTTAATTCTTTACTTATTTTTTAATATACAGAATATCAGACCACGAATTCAGATAACTGTAATTTAATGTAATCCTTAACATAAAATTAATTTAATGTTTTATATGTAGAGGATAAATAACATATACTGCAAAATTCAATCAAAATATACATTTGGAAATAATAAACAAAAATGTAAATAATAAAAGCATTGAGAAAAATCATTTGGCTAAATATAGATAAACAAATACATGTTAGGCATTATATAATCAGAGTAACATTTAGCAACTATTAAGATAATAGAATCACGATTGAAGTTCAGTTAATCAGGCACTAAATAAAATTTTGTTCATATAAGTAGAATTCATATAAACTTACTATGTACAAACATGTATTTAGTACCTATTATAAACATATATTTATATATACAGCATGAAGAGTCACTTTAAACATATAAGACACTTATTAATATAATCCTTAATTGACTGCTTACATACTCTTTTGTGATTCCTACAATATATATATGCACTGAATATCTTGTAACTTGTACATATGTTTTCAGATTTATTTCAAACATTACCAATACAACAATGACAGTCAAATATCATTGAAGTGCTAATAAAAATTCATGTTTCATGTTTCATGTTTCATGTGTCATGTAAAGTTTTTATAAGTACTCAAATATTTGGATAAGCTACTATAAGTGAAATGATAAATATCAATAAGTTTGAATAATAATTGTAATATAATATAATTATTGCGAAATAATTGTATACAAATGAAATTCATTTGATTAATTTCCAAACATTTTTAGTTGATTTCATTATATATTATGAGAAGTGGAAGGGGTAGTAACACAACTAACGTTAGTAAAAAGAAATCCCGTTTCGGTAGGTGTTAGTTTACATAGAGTAAGCGCAAATGAAAGACAGCTGTTTCTAAATGCAAGAAACATGCTCTATGGGATCATCAAATTACCAGGTGTACTCTCTAACGTCCAAACCACCCCTTCTTTCATAGTTGCGTAACGAAATCGATCTTATATCATACGCCTTTTATCCCCCTGTCTCTTATTCTTGCATGTAACACTTAATTTTAAGAATTAAATGGCTTCCGACGTCTCATCTTCTTATTTCATTATCTTATATTCTTTTTTATTTAGATAATTTAGTGACATTTATTTTTAATTATTATAAAATTATTATTATTATACATATACATACTGCATCAGTAATGCATACACACACGCACGCACGCACGCACGCACGCACACACCTTGTATAAACATACATAATATACAGTAGCAGAGAAAAGTTTGAAACCACTACCTTTCTGATAAATTATTGCGCTATATTGTACATAATAAATAACCAATAGTCTGCAATTATTCGTTATTGAACTTCGCTTTATTATAGCATACTAAATTTCGATATATCAGAAAATAACACTTTTTTAAATATACTGTTCATACTTGTACTGTTCAGTGTTCACGTGCTTCAGTAAAAGCAATTCCCAGTTTCCGATTCTTACAATTGAACATTGGATTCTTCCGAAACGTTTAATGACAAAATCATGAAGACACCTTCAAAGAGCTCTTTCACAAATGTTCAGAACATTAGTAGCATAAATTTCATTTTAAAAATCAGTAGCAGTTCGAAAATTATTCTTTTCAGATAACCGGTGGATGCAATGGCCCATCTTTACTGTAACTTTTTGGTTCATTCTAATAGCATCCATTTTTTTTCTAAAATTTTTAGGTATCATAACTGTTTGCACGCTATCTCAGATCCTGCAATAATATGTGCTATATTTCGGCAAATAGCTATTTTCTCTTGCGTATGATGTAAATTTTCTATCTTCTAAGCGTAGATTGTTGTTATAAATTTAATATGTCATGTTAAATAGACTTATTATTGTTGGATAAATTCGTAGCACTACTGTATTTGAATGTTCGTTTTAATGTTTGAACGTCGCAGCAAATACAGTATCGAATTGTTTCATACTTATCCTTTCAAATACTTCAAATGTTTTAAAAGTCTCGTGACCGTTCGTAGATAAATTTTGAGTGTATATGTAATTGTAAAGACAACTTCGAACTGTAGGTCATTTAGAATCTATAATATAATGCAATAAACTATCAGAAAGGTAGTCTTAAACTTTTGTCCGGTACTGTATATATATACATATATTTATTTATTTTTCGGCTCCACAGCCTAGCAAAAGGATATATCATTAATAATTCTATAATAATTAAACGATCGATCGGTCATTATTTTTGTTATGAGATTTTTCTGCTATAATATGTTATTATATTTACAACAACATATATTTATAATTTAAGTTACGTAAAAGATAGAAATAAATAATGAATTTAATTTTACAATTGACTTCGTTCGAGAAAATCAATATGTTAACTAATAAAATTCTGCTAATCCAGTGAATAAAAATTAATTTTTGAAAATGATATATAAAACACTGTTATAATATACATATATTACTATACAATACATAATATACAAAAATATTGCCAAGCTTCTATTTTTATTACTGTAAAATAAGAAATAATTTATTATTTACATAAATTCACATATAAATGCATAATACAAGTAATATTTAATACTTTGATAACTATTTCTCAGGTAAAAGACTCATAATTTAGAAACAAAATTGTTGACTGAACTGAAACATAATAGAATTTCTTATATTGTAATGTCATTATATTTATACTATAAAAATTATATTATATTTGTTAAATACGTATACTACATACATTATACTGTACTTTCTGATAAGTAAACTTATCTTGTTAATTATAATTAACTGTACTAGTTAACAATAAAGGATATATGACAACTAGAATATATATATGTATGTACTTCTACATATAAATAAATAATATTTCATATTGATGTTAATATTTTCTAACATATCTTCAATTTATTTCCCGCCAAATACATATTGTGTAAATATAAAAATTACACAACATCTGGTAATTTCGAAAAAGTAGAGAGGTAATGAAAACAACAAATTTATAAAATAATAACATTACTATCATTTTACATATATAAGAGTGCATACATTATAATGCGCACCAAGGAAAATAGAGTTATAAAGATATATGTTTACTTACTTTCGAATTCATTAAATCTTTGGATTCTGGCTTTTGAAAATGACATTGTGAAATGTTTTTAACGTATTTAGACAACAAAACACAACAAGAAACTAACAACTTTGAAAATAATGTTAATACTTATCACTGATTTTAGTACGGAGAAAAACACTATTCACGGTGTTCGTTACACCAGTTCCGCCTTTGAACTGTAATCTTTGAATGAGAGGGAAAGGCACTAGTCACGACATTAACTTCCTAGTAGGATTCAAACATTTCTTCACTCCACCGGTCCTTCTGATTTGAAATAACGGTTACACAAGTTGAACAATAGTAAAATGACGAATCAACGGGCATGTGTTATGTAACTGACCAATCAGATAATAGATACATTTCTGCTATGAACCAATCCCGTACCAAAAACTTAGATCATTAGAAAATAAATTTAATGACAATTTACTGACGACATTTAAATGAAAATTTATTTTATATATATAAGTTGAATATATATTCAACTAACGTATACAATTACAAATTTACATTTTAAACTTATTATGATTATAATTAATGTTTATAACATTATATGTTATTTATAATATGTAAAATATTTGGAAGTTTTAGAAAAAAATTAAAAATTAAATTGTGGTTTTATACTAGGATATCAAAATTTAAAGTTTAAAAATTTTTGTATGCGCTCCTGACAAATGTTACATAAAAACTTAAAATATAGAATGTATGATCTTAAAAGTCATTATACAATGTATATATAAAATAAAAAATAAATTTATAAAAAAATATTTGTTTAGTGTAAATAATAAAGTTTTGGTACGTTTATTTATTTGGATAAAATTTGCCACGTCGTATTGCATAGACCAATAAGATTCGTACATTATCTGCATAGCTGTAACGTGCTCGTAGTAGAAGATTATTTGTATTTGTACTATATTAATTTATGCTGTTTGTAATGGATTTTAAAACAAGTATTATACTGTTGGGACTTATTTTAAGTTTAAATCATGTTTATGGGCAATACAGGATGAAAAATGTGAGAATTTAATTACTTTATTGCAATTGTTATACATATGGAAATGACAAATTATTTTTGCAATTTCTTAAATTCGATCCATTTCAAAAATGATCAATGAAACAATTATGATAATATTAGAACGTTATTATTAATGCACTTTAACAATTTTACGCAATATACAAGTTTTCAACATAACAAAAATATGTTTAACCTTCAATCACTCAAAATTTACTTAAATTTCAATTTTCTTATATTTAATATAAGTAAAATAATGTATTTCAGACTCCTGGCTCTTCATTGTCAGACCGAGTACAGCAGTTATCAGAATTAGCTCTCACGAGACCTGTGATTAAGTTCAATGGAGCAAAATTTAAAGAATATGTTAAAACTACACCAAGAAATTATTCTGTTGTTGTAATGTTTACAGCTATGGCACCTCAAAGACAATGCCACATATGCAGGTAATTTTAATGTTAATTTATCTTCAAACTTTATTACATTTAATGTTAATTAGCCTTTTTATATTTTTACTTTATCAGGCATGCAAACGATGAATTTGTAATAGTAGCGAATTCATTCAGATATTTACAATCTCATTCAAAGAAGTTGTTCTTTGCGTCTGTAGATTTTGATGAAGGATCTGATGTTTTTCAAATGGTATGCAATACATCTATGCTTATACAGGTTATCCCAGAAGGAAACTAAATCATTTTCATAGTATATTTGATAGGTTATTCTGAATCATAAAAATCATATATATTAATAGAAACAGGGACCAATACTTAAAGGACTTAT